TGTGAGTGTGTGTGTACTAAAAGATGCTAATTACGGGGCGGGGGACGCGCCGCCTGCAAAAGACGAAGCGCCGGACGGGAGTGTGGCTGGCTGGCTGGCGAAGGGAGAGGTCGGGGCTCCCGGCCCCCCGGGGCGCCTCGAGGGAGCGTCCTGTGCGCCTCGCGCTCAGACTTTCGCCCTTCCCTGGGAACTTTCCTGTCCAAGTTAACTATTAACCGCTGGGGAGAGGCAATTTTCTTCGGAATTTCAGCGATTTCCTTTTCGTGGTGGAGGCAGATTAACATGCAAACGGTGAGCCTTCGGCTGGAGTCTGCGCGCCGTGAGGATGCCTCCGTCCCCCCCACCCCAAACAATGTCCTAAGGGACAGCGGAAAACTACAGCCCTGCCCCCCACAGCCCTGCTTGTGCACGCAGCCGTGACCCAGTCGGTGCCTGGCCGGTGCCCCGGGAGAAGGTGGAAAAAGCCCAGTGCTCGGCCTCAGGGCAGAGTTGAGGGGGAGGAGAGTCGTTTAACCCTGGCTAGCCAGGAACCTCCGACTTTCTGCCCTTATGGCCACACAAGAAGCCCTTGACCCTCCCAGTCTGGTTCACACATTCTGTTCCAAGCCCTACAGGGGGGGCTTAGGATGGCACAGGCATGCAGAACCCCCAACTATCCCCGCAACTCCTCCCCCTTTGCCATGGTCACTACCTCAAAGCCCACATGAGCACGCCTTGCTGTGGACTGGAACAGCGGCAAACTTGTTCAAACTTAAAGCTATGTGCACAAACTTCTTGCTTTTGGCCCTCCTTTCCTCTCTTCCTGAAGCAGACAGGGAGATGGGTCTCTGCCTCAAGCTCTGGGAGAGGGAAGTTTCTAAAAGTCAGAGCCTTTCCTGTCCCCTTCAGGGACGGACATTGGGCCTGGCTATCTTCCAGGCTGTAGGACACTGGACACATTCCTGGATGGATCAAAGGTGCTAGTGATTGCAGTGGCCAGGCTTGGCAGAGCCCTGGGCACTTCTCTGAAGCTGTTCCCTGCTCAGCCTTGCTGACAGTGACTATGCTGGGCTTGGAACCCCAGTTCAGGGCTTGAGCCCCTGGCCTAACCATCTTCTCCCCACTCAGTCTTTCTAACTGATTTGCCCCCAGCTCTTGCCTGGAGTTAGGTTTCTTTCTGCCACTGTCTTATCTCTGGCAGGGCTGCCTAGGTCTCTTGTCTCTCTGTCTCTGTCTCTCTTGTTTGTTTCAATGCGCGGACACTGATTGCGCCTTATGAAGTTCTAACTGGTTTTGTGTCAGGAAGATCTTTCTCGCTGCTACCCAGCCTGGCGTGACGGATTAAACATCAACTAGTTAAATAAAAATTAATATCAACTGCCTCCTAACTTCTAATGTCATGTTGTTTATAACTAATGAACTGATTAGGAGATAAACACATCACGGAGACATTCAGCTTTCCTGCCTAGCTCCGCTGCTGCCTGGTGCCCATTCCTGGATCTGGCCAGACCTCTGCCAGGCCAGGAGAAGGGGGAGGACTTCAGGCTGCAGAGACTGGCTTGCTTCTCCACTTATCTAGATCTTTTTCTCTCCCTTTCCTTACCTGTCCTTTCTCTTTCCCTTCTTGTATATACTTCTTTTTCTCAATTTCTTTTTTCCATTTTCTGCTTTATTTCTACTATCTTTCCTCCCTCCTCCTCCTCTTCCTCCTCCTCCTCTTCTTCCTCCTCCTCTTTCTTCTCCTTCTCCTCCCTCTTCCCCTCCTCTTGCCCTTCCTTCCTTCTCTCCCTCCTTCCTTTCTTCCTTCTTTCCCTATTCTCTGCTCTTTGCTTCTCTGCCTCTGTCCATTAGACTATCCATGGCTCATCTCCTCCTTTTCTTTGCCAGTCTGGGCCTTGAAGCCCTTCCTCTCTGGGTCTCTCTTGTCCTTCATTCTAAGTCTGCCCTTCTCTTCTCTCTTCTTCCTCCTTATTTAGAGTCACTTTCCCCAAAACAGCATAGAATATAATGATTACCAGTGTCCTTGAAACTGTACTTCTTCCCTGCTACCAAGCAGAATGTGCCTCTCAACACCGTGTAACACACACACACACACACACACACACACACACACACACACACACACACACACCAGCTACTTAAGGAACATGAAATAGAGCTAGAATAAGTAAGGCTTTATTTTCTATTTCTCCCCATTCAATCTGTAAGAAGAAAAAGGAAATAAAATGTTTAAAACTTTTGCTTCCCACTTGTCCCAGAAGCAATTAATACAAGTTTAAGTGCTAATTTTAATTCCAGGAAAAGAAAAAAACACAGCTCTGGTATTTTTCCTTCAAGAGCTTAAAAACCCTCACCAGCCAGCCCCTGCATGGCCTGAGCAACCTCCTCCTACAGGGCCCTTTTCCTAAAGATACTTAAACCAAATCACAATTGTCATCATGACAACCATAAGGCAGGAAGGCCGGTAATCACAGACCCAGTCCTGGTGATTTTTTTCCCCCTAAGAAGCCACAACATTTAAACTTGGTTTGCCCTGGACCGCAGGGTCTGACAAGACAATAACAACAGAAAAAGGCTTTTAAAACCAATTTAGCACACGTGAAAATGTAATTCTAATGAAGAATCAATAGGCTGGCGGATCATTTTTCCTGGGACTCCTTGGAGAACCTGAAAGAGACTTTCAATCAATGGGGGCTGGCAATGAGCAAACGGGCCCAAGAGACAGTGTGGAACAGGAGACAAAGAGAGGCAGAGCCTGAGGGAGGAGGCTGAAGAGAGGCTCAGGGCTGGACTCTTGGCTGGCATTATTTTGCAGGCATCCTGAGGAAGAATATTAGAGTGAAAAACTAAGAAGTATCCTTCCTCCTCATGGTCCCTCTAGTATAAGATGGGCTACTTGGCACCATGGTGCCCATGCCTCCTTCAGGGCCTAGGCCCTGGCCTCGCCTCTGTCTCAAACCTGAGCCCTGTGTTCAGTAACTGAGACAAACTGGCTTAGGAGCAGGAAGGGAACCTGGAGCTGAATGAGTGTGTCCTCAGTTTAAAATAACCTGATTCCCCATTTTGTGCCCCTTCCCATGTGTGTCTGGGACATTGTGTCTCAGTTCCTGCCTTTGATAATATAGGAACAAGCACACCTGATGGAAGTATGGTCACACCTCACATTTTATAAATCATTTGCATACCCATTATCACTTGAGAAATCTGGGAGAAGGGAATGATTATTATCACCATTTTACCAAACAGGAAACAGGCACAAAAAGCTGTACAACAAAAGGTGACTCAGCAGGTCACAACCCCTGTGTAGGTCTGGATGTGATTCTGAAGTTACATCAAGAGGCTAATTATACATCACCATCTCACCACATGGTAGTTGTATATGTGTGACTAGATTTAAATTTATTTGTTGTTCTTGTTTTCTTAACAAAAGAAAAAATACTTTTTGCTTTTAGCATTTGATGCCCTGGAGTTGGAAAATCACTGTTACATGAAAAAGGAAAAAACCACCAATAAGGTCTGCTTTGTTTAATAAAAAATAAAAATGTTTGGCTAGGTACTGGTGACCCATGCCTGTAATCCTAGCTACTGAGGAGGCTGAGATCTAAAGATCATGTTCAAAGCCAGCCCAGGGAAGGAAAGTCCGTGAGACTCTTAGCTCCAATTAACTACAAAAAGCAAACAAACAAAAAAAAAAAAGCACCCAGAAAGTGGAGCTGTGGCTCAAGTGGTAGAACACTAGCTTTGAGCATAAAATTTAGAGCCCAGGCTCTAAATTCAATTCCAGGATCAGCACAATAAGAATAAAAATATTATGGAGTTGTAGTCTCTTTGTACAACTACCTAACATTAAAGTTTTTTTATTAAAGTTTTTAAAGATAAAGAACGCTAGTGTTCTGGAGGCATGACTCAAGTTAGAACACCCATCTAGCAAGCAGTTAGCCCTGGGTTCAAACTCTAGTACTACTAAAAAAATAGTTTATTAAATGGGATGGGGGGGGGCTTTTCTAGCAATGTGGAAGGCCTTAGGTTCAGTTTTTAGTGTTGTTTAAAAAAAATAAAGTTAGTCAGATACTAACTTGGCTAGGATTTCTCTGAAAGCACAGAAAGTCATATTCCTATAGGAAAAATTCAAGAACTTTGACTCCGTTTTGCTGTGGGTCCTTGTGCCCCTCCAACTTCCTATCCCTAGTCCCAGAATCTTTCTAGATTAGGAAGTCAGTAGATGGGGGTTTTATGAGCTGATTTTCAGTTCACAAAAGGAGTCTTCTGGACCTGGGCCCTACCCATCCCTTGCCTTAGAGCCTTTCTTTCTAGGTAGTATGTGCCTGTGTGTGTGTGTGTGTGTGTGTGTGTGTGAGAGAGAGAGAGAGAGAGAGAGAGAGAGAGAGAAATGAAGGCTGTCACAAGCCTCCACTGACACAGAGCTTACCCAACACTTTCTTGTGTGCACTCCTCAGGGTTAGTGTGTGAGCAAGGTTCTAAAAAGAGGGAGTTTCTGCATAAGTGAGTAGCAGAATAAGTGGTATAAATGAAGAAAGAGACCATGACCATGAGGACTTTAGGTATGGGAACATCATGGTTCATGGAAGAGGGGGGGAGATAAAGCTCAAGTCAAACAAGTGCTTATGAGAAAAGTGGGTTGTGAGTCTAAAGGAGAATTTATGACCAAGGTGTAAGAGATGTAAATTCCAGATTGAGTAGGCACAATATGGAACAAAGCTAAAACGGGGCTTTGATCAAGGGATGAAAGCCAAGACCCAAGAGACTTGGGGTGAGGGGACCATAATGTAGTAAAAGCCCAGTGTTCAAGCAGGCCAAGTGAATGTGGGAGGGATTGGGCCTTGGTCCCTTTGCCCTTGGCCTTCACCACATCTCCAATGACCATGGAAGCTGGGATCTTTTCCTTTTATTCTAAGTTGTTTTATTTGTTGGCTTTAGAATCCTGAGCAGAATAGCTCTCGAGCCGTACAATGAATACACTGATGATCCATTCTCTAAGAACAACTTTGTGGGGTGCGAAAGTTAGGGTAGGTCTGTAGAGATCTTGGAAATTGAGCCCGAGACCTGAAAGCTTTGGGTAGGCTGCGGAGCCTGATGATCATCAGTGGGATAAGGGAAGTGCCGATAGTCGTGGGCAAGGGAATCCGCAAAAAGTTGTCGAATATGTGACAGTGAGAACGCCCCTGAACGCAACGCTGTACAATGAAGGGGAGCGTGCGACAGTGAAGGAGAGGGGGTGGGGTGAGAGGGTGTGCCAGCATCTAGACCCACGATTCGGTCTTTGGGTGCCTCCGGCAGCGGCAGCGAGGGTGTTGGCTTGCCTGCGGCTGGCTGGGGACCTCGGTGCCAGTGCGCGCGTGTGCGCAGGGCGGAGGCCCGGGGGCTCCTCCGCGGGTGGCTGTGCCTCGGCGCGGCGGGGTGTGTGAGCGCAGGGTCTGTGAGCGCTGGCACGAGCGGCGCGCACAGCCCAGGCGGCGGGCAGCCTGGGTTATCTGAGCAGCTCCGTCTTGGGTGGCTGCGCCCAGATCTCTGAGCGGCAGCGGCGAAGGCGAAACGCGCTGACAGACTTGGGAAGAAGAGAGAAGCCAGCCCCGGGCCCTGGTGGCTGAGGCGGGAGCAGAGCATGGAACAGAGTCAGGCAGGTAAGAGCCAGAGGAGCCCGTCAGTTCTGCCGGGAAGGGTGACGGTGGGGAGGGATGGGGGTGGCCGAGGCTAGCAAGATTCCCACTCCTTTCCCGGCTTGACCCAGACGGCAATAGTAAGGGCTGGGAACCGAGGTTCTCTGGACTTTTCCCCTCCCGTTGGGCCTCCTGAGCCTTCCTTCCTGATGTCCTCCGAATCTTCTAATGAAAACTTTCCACCTAGAAAATGTGAGTTTTGTAACTTCTCTTCTCCTCTTGGCAAAAACTTGGTGTATCTTTCTTTTGGGTGTCCAGGACTAGCTCTTTCTGCTTTCTCTGCAGGCATTAAGTATTTTGCAAAACTTCCCCCAAGTTGGGAGTGTTGAGTAGGCCTTGGTTTCTAGTGGAGAGTGAGTGTGGGCGTGGACACCTAGTCTAGTGGGCAAGAAACACTGCCTAAGTCTGTGTGCACACGTGTGTAAGAATCGTGTGTATTTGGTTATGAGCACTAGTTTAAATGTGCCTAAGCTCTGCAGGGAGAAGGCCTTGTCCCCAAACTCAAGACTCTAAAGACAGGTTCAGGGAAGAGAAAGTGGCAAGGGACCAGCAGGCTCAGAAAGGGAGGAGAAACTGAAATCATCTACCCAAAAGGTGATGATTGTTCTCTATTATTTGCCTTTCTCCACCTCCCCTAGGCTTACCAGCTCACCTCTGACTGCTCCCATTAGGTGTCCTGGTATATTGGGGGGTGGGGGGAGCAGGGATCAAATACCCAAGTTTAGTTCAATACTGGGAGAGAGGGAGATAACTGGATCAGGTTCCCAGAGTTTTCCAAATAATTCAGTAGAGGTCAAGGTCTACCTCTGGCCTTTCTACCTCACTCCTCACCTTCCCCAAATCTCATTTCTCCCCCTCCCAACTCTCCCTGCTCAAGTTCCAATTCTTTCAGCTGAAAACCCAGCCTATCTCCACCTCCCAGCATGGCTTTTGCTCTAGTATCTTGGCTCAATTTCGGAGCTGTCTCCATTCTCCTCCAGGGTCTTGCCCCCACTGGGGAACCTAGGCCCCTAAGAGTGTCAACTGCCGCCTCCTTGGGCTTTTAGGGCTCTGGGCAGACCCTCCACACCAGAGGTTTAAGTAGGGAGATCAATAGCAAACAGTTGTAATGATCTAATTAATTATGGCAAAATTAAAAGCGAGTACAAAATCAATCTCTGATGGTGTTGAAGATGGAATTCAATTGAGAGCCCATCTGTGCACCCCCTCGACCGTATAAATATGCAGCCCAAGGACAGACCTAATGGCTGGGCCTTCCTGGGAACCTCTCTCCCCCTTTTTCTGTACAGAGCTTCTCTCTCACAGACTCTCTGAATCTATTTTGCCCTCTGATGCCTTCTACCCTCCCCCCCCCCCCCACCTTTCTCTGACTCCTTTACCCCAGCTCCTGAAACCAAGTTTCAGTTTTCTTACCATGCAGGCACCTCTTCCTGCCTTATGGGTCTGAGGTGCAATGCACTGGGTTGCTAGTCTCCCACAGCCCCATCCAAGCCTCCCCCTTAGCACCTCCGGAAGACTTGAAGCAGAGTAATGGGAAAATCCCTATAAGTCTGTCAAGGTTCCTCATTCCGAGTTACTCCAGATGGGACCCTGGCACTTCCCACTTAGCCAGGGGTGCCTGCGCTTACCCGTGCCTGGAAGGGGTAGGCTAGCTGATCTTCGGGTGCATGGCACAGAAAGCCAGTAGAGCAGGCTGGTATTGAGCTCCGGTTCTTTTCTTTCCTTTCCTGGAGCAGGGCTCGCATGCCTTGGCTGGCACTGCTCGCTCGGGCCAGGATAGAGAAGAGCTGTGGAACTGAGCAGGAGGCAGAGGGAAAGAGCCTTTCCTTTCCAGGTGCCTCCACCAAGCCAGATCCCAAAGTCGTCTGCCTCCCCAGCCGCCTTTTCTCTTTTCTTCTCTTTTTATGTCCTCTCCTGCTGTCCTACCTTTATCTTTTCCATAACCACATCTGGCCCGGGGCACAACTCCCTGGGGACCCTGTGTTCCCCTGAAGACCCTGTCTTCCTTCTGGGCCCAATCCGGCTAGTTCAAAATGATGTTGACAGCTAAATGCGATCGAGCGAGAGAGTGTACCTAGCAGACGTGCTGCCGCAACCAACCGCTGCAGCCGGGTTTGCGGAAAATGCGGGTTTTATTTCGGTTTCCCTGCGCCTGTTTCTGAGCAGCAAAAAAACTCCCGGGAAGGGCAAAGGAAGGTGTAAGGGGAAAGAATGAGCAACTAGGTCAATTGTGATTTTCAGTTATTGCAGTCCATATCTCCAGAGCCATAAAAATAAGACGTTTGTTTCTGTCCTCTCTCTCTCCCTCCTCCCCCGCCTCTCTTTCCCTCCCAAGGGCAGTTTTTGAGTTCCTTGCCAGTGATGCCTTGCCTCTCCCTCCTGGAAGCCTAGGCCCACTCTGAGCTCATCCTGAGTTCTCAGGTCTCTGTCTCTTTTAAGAGATCCCTCCCAGTGCCTGATACAGCTACCAATTCCTCCGAGCCTGGGGGTGGGGTGGGGGGCAGTAGGAGTAGGGAATACAGCCTGATGCCTCCCGCCCCCTTTTGCTAGGCCTCCTCACCCCGTTATTAATTGCTGTGTTGACCTGCAGGATTGATTGGTGGCCCTGCTGGAAGAGACTGCCGAGGCCTTGGCCTCAGAGCAGCCTCAGCTGAGGGTAGTGGGAGGAGGGGGAAGTACTGGATGTGGGTTCTCTCAGCCCCTCCTGGAACACAACTGTTAGCCCAAACTCTCCACCACCCTTCCATGCAGTCTGCACATACCCTTAGGATACTGGAACAAACACTCCCACAAGCTCCTCACCAACGCATGCTCTATATCCAAGGAGACATATCAAAATTTCTCAATTGATTTAGAAATTAAAAGGGTCTTCCCTCCCTTCATTAGTCAGTTTCTTCTAAGTATTTGTTAGCTAGGGGTCTAAACCCCATCACCTGAACTCCTGGACCTGGGATCCTCTCCTCTCTTTTACTTTATATCTTTTCTTTTCTAGGAACGGTAACAAAAAGTTGGGATAATCTTGGATGCAGGTGATCCTAAAAGCCTCAAACAAAATCATCCCCTCCCACCCCCCCCACCCCCGCCCCACACCCCTCAAAGAGACCTTGCCCTGGTTTGTGGGCTATTCAGTTCGCGCCTTTTGTTTCAAACTCTGGCTCGAAGAGGGTAGAGGGCAGAGATGTACAGTTAATCCGGACAGGAGTCAAACGCTGCCCACTTCCTCCCCTCCGCTCCCCTCCCCCGGCCTAAACCGTGGTCTGCGCACACAGGCTGGCGCACACAGCCTCAGCAACACCCCCCGCCGCGACCGAGGCTACTGAAAAGTGGGCTGAGAGCCCCCAGGCGTCCCAACGCTGGTCTGGGCGTCAGCGGTGAAGGCAGACGTCTACAAACCTTGGCAGGTCCCGAGAAGTCCCCTTCTCCTTTCCCGAGGCCGCTCTCCCTGTCCTGTCAGTCCCTTTCGCCCCGTGTCCCCTAACCACCACCCCCCTCCGCTCCGATCCTTTGTTTCCAGCCACCTCGCAGTCGGTCCCCCGCCTCGGTGGCCCCTGCCCTTCAGCCTCCCAGCCTCTCTGGCCGGTCTCGCGCTGCCTTACCCGGTCCGGGCTCTGGCGCGCTCTCCTCCTGCTCCTCACAAGCACACAGCTGCTGGGAGAGGAGGAAGGGAGGGCGGGCGCGCCGCGGATGGATCCGAGACAGTAGATTTGGTGTGTGCTCACAACTCCGGGGAAACTCAGCCCGGTGCTCCCGCCCCCTCCAACTTTTGCTGCGGAGCCACTCGTCCTCGCCCGCGTTGGGCCCTTCCTCTCCCCGTGTATTGGCTCTCCCCGGTTTCCAGCAGCTGGAGTTGTGAAGCCCTTTCCCAGCACTCATATCCCTTTCCACTGTTGTTGCTACCACCTGCCCCCTCCCTCCGCAGTCTCCGGGGCCTGGGGTCGCAGTGGCGGTGGCCAGTCGCACTGAGGATGTCCTGGGTCCTCCAGTACCATCTCCCTCGATCACAGGTCACAGCCCGAGGAGCCCAAGTCCTCGGGGCCGGCTGGGAAGAGGGTTAATCATTACTTCTATCGACAGTCAGCCTCACTTGGACTTTCTCACCTTGGCTTGGGAAGGAGGGGAGAGGGTAGTTGGCCAGGTGGAGACTTTGGCTTGAATCAAACCAGGCTCTTCCGGCCTTCCAGTGACAGGTTTCTTTCCAGTGCCTTCGCACCTCTTTCACGACCTCTCTGATCTTTCTTCCCTCCTCCCCCTCCTCCCCCTCTACCTCCTTTCCCATCCGCCCCGTCTGAGCTGTAGCTTTGGCAAGTGGACTGTGGGTCCTGAGAGGGCCAATTCTCTTTGTTTGGAACAAGACTGGACAGAATTTCCTTCTCTGAGTCTCTGCCAGTGGGCGGGCTCCTCCCAACGTTTTTGGTGGACTGGCAGAAGGGGACCAGACTAGAGGCCACAATTAACCTGGCTGGCTGGTGTGTGTGTGTGTGTGTGTGTGTGTGTGTGTGTGTGTGTGTGTGCAGGAAATGGGACTGGAGGAGAAGGAAAAGGAATAGAGCAGAGTGAGAAACATGAATAGGATGTGGTATGGTCAAAAGTAAAGGGCTAAAAATCCTTGTATGGAGGAAAGCAGGAAGGAGCAAAGTGAGGAATCCCACAAACCTTTGTAGAACAGAAGTTGGATGAAAAACATTATTTCCCTGCTCTGACTAAATGCTCTGATCCCTCCCTCCCCTCTTCATGGAAGGATAGGGGTTCAGAAACCTGGGCAGCTATGGACTCATCTACTATAGAAACGTTGATTTTTCCAAATGTTTCTTGGTTGGTTCCAAGAATGGACAAGTGTAAGTATCCCCATTTTACAGGTGAAAAACCGAGGCTTTAAACAGAAGCAAAGGGACTGTGTAGGCAGTGGCAACTGTGGAAGAGTGGTTCCTTTAGCTCAGTCAGGAGTACCAGGGTCTCTCTGCCTC